AAAATGAAGGAGTTGTAGTAACACATTAGCACAATGACGAGGATGAAGAGCCCGCACAACCTGTCCAGGGTTCAAATCGAGAATTTCAAAATTATATCCGTAGAAGTTCAGAGATACGAGATAACACAGTGCATCATCAACTTCGTGCCGATTTAGTTGAGCATATTTGGACTCATTTTTCAACAACTAAAAAATATTTTTTTTTTTTTTTTTGTAATTGTACTATTTTTTGCTTGTGTAATCTTATTTTATGGTATTTTGGTCTTATAGTGCTTTTTTATTATTATTATTTTCATGTATTTTAAAATTTATTGTTATAATTTAAAAGTATTGAAATTTATATTTATTGTGGATAGAATATAAAAATTTATTTTAAATGAGTGGATAAGAGGTCTCACATATGTATTTAAATGAATGGGTATGGATGTGGCCTGTGGGTGTGCGTTTAAGTGGAGAGAGATTTAGTGGAAAGATGATGTGGATGAGAGAGAGTGTAACTTTTTGATTGAATGAATGAAAAAAAAAAAAAAAAAGCAACCAATGTGGATGCCCTAAACCTCATAAACCTCACTTTTACACTTCTCAATACACCACATCATCTAACACGTCATCCTTACTCCTACACTCATAAACCTCCAATAACCATAAACCCCATAAACCTCACTTTTTATGGGTCCCACATATTTCTCAATTACTTTTGATTAATATTATACTCTTATATTTTATTAATATTTTAAAATAATAACTCTATTTTTTATCTTCACTAAATGTAAATATTCTTATCCCTCTCTATATTAATAAGCAAGAGTTTGGGGGGTTCTGCTCTTGACACGTGGCACCCTTAATGGAAAAGGCCGCTACTGGCTTCAAAACGACCTCACATTGTTCAAAAAGAAATGCCGTCGTTTAGATTCAATTAAATAAGCATTTTCGTCCTCATTTCTGCAACATATTTCCCCGAACATGTATATTTCTCTCCCGATCTCCCGACTCTCTCACCGCCCTTACCACTCAGCACGGCCGCCGTCCTGGGATCCTCTCTGAAGATTCCCGCAGCACGTCGTCGCCAACCTCCGCCGCATCCGACAAGCGACGTGCCTGATTTCTCCGGCGCATATGACCAGGTATGCGGTGAAGCTTAGCGATTAGGAGGGGTTGCAGAGGATTAGGTGCGGGTTTTAATTTTTTTTCACTGTTGCTATTTCCTATAAGAATTTTTTTTAGCAAAACAGTTGCATTTTCTTTCGATTCTCGAACAAGTCCAACATATTGAAGCCTGACGACTTGGATGTATGAATAGAGGAGAGCCCATTTCCTTGATTTCGTACAGAAAGAGAGGAACCTCATAATCGTCGGAATCTCGATCCTCTTCAACAGAACCCTAATCCTCTTCGCCAGATATTGTGAAGTATATCTGGCTTAATATAAGGTTCATATTACATGTTTATTCTTTAACTTTTGTTTGCGTCTCTTTAGAATTTAATTAGGGCCTTGCTCAGGGCTGGTAGTAGGGAAGACAGATGCAAATCGAGATCGAAGACGTAGTTGTGTGGTAGTGCTTTGTGAGAATGACGAGTAATTGTAGTCAAGCCTACTTCGACACATGGACTCTATTCGGTCCGGGTCTTTTGGAGAAATGGTACTAGCGGAATGGAGAATCTAGAAAGAGTTCGGGTTTAGTGTGGAAAGAAGAACCACACGGCGGCCAAGATGATGGTGGCTCTAAGGGTGCCTGACCTGTACATGCACCACGCCATCGTATGCATTGTTAATGACTTCATGTTAGAGGAGGCCACGGTGAAGATGGAGGGCCAGTTTTTTCACGCATGACCAGCTCAAGGGGACTCGGGTCTCGATGTTTGGAGAGGCCAGGTAAGGGGTACTCTTTTGTGGTGAGAAAGAGGCCTGTGGAGGATCAGAATCTCGACGGTTGTTGATTTTTAGTGTATGTGTGTATGTTTTGCGTAGGTTAAGGGGTTTAGGTTGGGGAGAGGGCTTATGGTTTTTACAGTTTTAGCATTTAGTGTGGTAGTGTGGAGACTTGGGTGTGTACAAAGGTGTTTTGATGGTGTACTAAAATTGATGAGCTTTTATGGCGGTTTTATTAATACATATGAATGAAAGGTCTGACACTCATCTTCTTTTTCTTCTTCTTAAAAAAATTTCAGGGGAAAAAGAACTGGAATAAGTAGAAAGTTCCTTCATTTCAAAGGGAACAATTTTCATAGGATCATACCAAGATTTATGATCCAAGAAGGTGACTTTACAGGTATGAGTTTATATAGAATTAATGGCTTGGCTTTCGAGACTATTATTGATGTGTTCTTTTTTTTTTGTTCGAATTTCTTTGACATGATTTTTGTCAGGCCCTACCAACAACGGAACAAAATACACTTTGTAAATAGGTTCTGAAAATTTACTACCCTATTTTCATATTCAGTGCATTCAGTGTGGTGTTTGATTTACACTTCAGACTCACGTCAAACACATTCTATTACCTCACTTACTACATAAATCATGATACAATAATAAAAACATTAATAACACGTTAGTACAGTGGGCCGACTGTGCATAGCACAGCCGGAGGCTGCTAGTATTTATCATAAATACATCTAAAATATATATAATTATAGATAATTATAAATAATTAAATATATATAAATATATATAATTATAAATAACTATATATAATTATATAGTGTGAAGTATGTACGAATGTATATTTTTACTTATAAAAATTATGAAACATAGAACACATATTATCATAAAAATTAATTTTGAGTACAATATTTTCTAAATATTAATCTTGGGAAGTAGATTCATTCCAAATATGCTAAACCAAGTCGTGTCGAAGTTGATGATGGGTTTGTCTATCTTGCACCTCAGCTCTTATCTGCAAGTACCGTCGAAAATTTGGAGGCACCCCTTCACGCGCCGGCACTGGTGGTTCACATTCATCATTAGACCAGTTGGTAGTTCTTTCATCTTCGTCCTCGATTATCATGTTATGTAAAATGATACACGATAACATAATTTCGCTAAGATCTTCTTTATACCAAAAACGAGAAGGACCCCGTATAATTGCCCACCTTGACTGGAGAACCCCAAAAGCACGCTCAACGTATTTTCTTGCAGCCTCTTGCCTTTGCTTGATTTTTTTTCCTTTTTGGATCCTCTGGACATTGAAAGCTTTTGACAAATATAGCCCACCCTGGATAGATAATGTTTGTTAAGTATTATCCTTTGGTGTATTGAGTCCCGTTTACCACAAAATTGACTTCTAGAGCTACACCATGTAAAACATCATTAAATAAAAGAGATTCGTGAAGTACATTTATATCATTTCGTGAGCCCGCGAGCCCAAAAAATGCGTGTCAGATCCATAGGTCTTGTGATGCCACTGCTTCAAGCATAATCGTGGGTACCCCATGGTCCCCTCGAGTGTACGAGACTTGCCATTCAACTGGACAATTTTTCCACTCCCAGTGTATACAATTTAGACTTCCCAACATGCCAGGAAAACCATGTTTCTCCTCGTGTAATGTAAGTATTCTTTGGATGTCATTGGCATTTGGGGCGGCAAATATTGGGGTGCATATATTTCTCGCACAACACGACAAAACTCGAGCAGACTTCGATTCGTCGTCTGCTCTGACATACGGAAGTATTCGTCACATTGATCGACAGGAGCTCCGTACGCTAGTTGACGTAGCCGCAGTACATTTCTGAATTGGTGTAAAACCAAGTCTTCGTACCGCATCTGATTTACACTTAAAATAATCAGAATGGCTTTTGACATCCTGAATGATCCGACAAAATAGTCGTCTGGACATACGGAATCTACAACGAAAGTAGTCTTCGTGGTATATAGGATCGAGAGCAAAATAATGTTTTATCAGCAGGGCATGTCCAGCTTCACGATTTCGAGGCACTTCTCATCTTTCACGCCTACTTGAACTTTCATCTTGCCCGTCTTGCTGCAAATGCATAGCCGTGGCCTCCATCAAGGCAAATTCAGCTTGTTCCAAAGAATCTCAAGCATATCGTTCAAGAAATAACGATATGAGACTCTATCGTTATTACGGCCAGCCATTTTAGAAAACTGAAAAATATTTATATTTGTGAAAATTGGAAAAACAATAAGAAGGAAGAATCAAGAAGGAATTGAAAGATGTTTTTGGATGTGTTTATGTAGTTGATGATACTATACTATCTATAGTAAAAAGTGATTGTGTTATGTTAGTTTGTGTTAGGTGGCATGTGTGTGGTAGTAGGTGGCATGTGTGGTGGAGTAAGTGAGAAGTGTATTGTAATAATGTGATAGGTATTATATTGTAGTGGTTGGTGTGTTAGGTTTAATGTATTAGGTGAAAAGTGTGTAGTGAGTAATAAATCAAATGTGGATGTTGAACCAATAGATAAACACTGTAACTCTTACTAATATGTATGTTATTTTTGGTGAAATAAAACTAACATTATTTTTGTCTTCGAATAAATTTTGAATTTAATTGTATGGTATAAGAACGCGTTAGATGTGTTTTTAAAAAAACAAGTGAAAAAATGAGCTATTTTTAATATAGATCAAACAACAAACAACATTGCTTACACTCATAAAATTTAACACAATACATAATAACTTAGATAAACAAGGTATAACATTTAAATTATAGAACGATAAAAACTTCAAACAACATAAATAATCAGTTTAGACCCAACTCTTCTTTAAGCACGACAAGAAGTCCCTGATGGGCTTGCAATTCTTCTTCTGTCATGGTTGAAGTGGAACACAATTTTGACACAGAAATCAAGTTGTATATAAAATTATGAAATTTTAATGACATGTCAACATATGTGTTGAGATCATGCTTGCCAAATTTCATGATTTTAAGTTGAGAAATGAATGAGCATTTCTCTGTATGTCTTCCATGACTCTATATGAACTAGCTTTTCCAAATCATTTTATTTCTTCAGATGAATTTCTTTAACCTGACCAATCTCAGCTAACAGACGGTCGACATATGCACCGGTGCTTCCTCCTGCAGTTGCTTTTCTCTTTCTCTTCCCAGCCTTTGCTGCTTTTTGGCCAATTGGTGGACGCACACATCTGTCCTCACCATCACCACTAGGCTCGACATCTTGCCCAGAGCCAGCAGTGTGATCTCCAGTATCAGATATTCTGGCTTTCTTTCCTCCTCGGGTTGTCTGAGATGCCCCATCAAATTTGGAATTATTTTTCAATACCTCCCAACAATGAAGCCATTTAAAGCCTCCTTTCTTTTTTCCCTTGCTATTTCATTCCACTAATGTATTCTGCAAAATAATTGCATCATTTTCACCACTTCTTTGATCAGCCCGAAACCTGTTTATTGACGCATTAAATTTTAGGCAATCTTCATGAAACGCATAAAAATGAGATTTTGCTGACTCCATAGTTCTCTGAGTGAGGTTTCGTGCTTCACCGGCTTCATTATAGTATTGTACAATTCGCCTCCAAAAACCTTCGGACGTTTCCTGAGGGCCAATGACCGGATCACTTGAGATGGTACAGAAAGCTCGACATAGTAAAACATCCTCATCATGTGTCCACGGCATTGTTGTCGCTTTACCCCGTCTTTTAGGCTCAACTTCTTTGGTTTTTTCTGAATCTGTATCAAGGCAAATGTTGTCGAGTCCTTCAACCTCCGGGATCGTGCAAGGTCTTGAGACTTCAATGGGGCTACTAGAGAATCCAGTCGGCATGAAATTTCCTTGTTGATAAGGCATCCCAAATGCATTCGACATGCCATATTGGGACGACATTGACCACATATACTGAGATTGATTTATGGCCATTAAATTTGGTGATGGGGAAAAGGAATTTTGCTCTGAAGTTTGTGAATTTGGATAAGAAGGCATTGGTGCAGGTACTTGAAAAGGAAAATTTTGAAACTGGGTTGTAGTTGCATTCTAGGAAATTGAGAAAATTGCATATTTCATGTATAACGTGAATTTACGGAAGACTGACTGTCATCCTCCGATGAGTTCGACATATTTGGGTAGGATTTGTATGGATTATTATCCATTACAGCTTGAGAGATATTGAAGATATGACTTTTTTTTTTGTTTCCTAATGAAAGATGTAATAGTTTATGGAACTTTGTAGAGAAAACAATATCATTTATAGACAAAAAATTTCAATGGCAATTCTTATCAGTTCAACATTCAAATTAAAGCATCCGACAAATATAAATGGTTGATGGATGACAATACACCTGCAGCTTTATCTTTTTGACCATCACCATTCTAAAATTTGACAAAAAAAAGAGATAAAAGATTGAAAGCAAATTTAAAGTTACTCTTCAATTCAAAGTTGCTCTACAAAATGCAATAGTTGATGGACAACATTCACTGATGTATGGGACCTTGCCTTTTTTTATTATTATTATCACTATTCAACTTTAATAATGTAAAAAATATAAAATTAATTAGAATAACAATTCAAGTTCATAATTCAATAATTTTAATTATAAAATAATAAGCAAATATTGTTAGTGTTCGTTCTTGTTCGAAAATACCTAGTTTTCAATTATTATTTTTCGACAACAACAGCAACTCGTTATTATTTCAATTAATTTAAATGTTGCAATAATTATTATAATTTTTTTAAAATAATGTATAATCCTAAGTAATATAAAAAATATAAAATATAAAATTTAGAAAATTTTATTACAAAGGAAAGAGACAAAATTTTATGAAATATAAATAAAAAGTTGATAGAAAAAGAGAGAAAAGTTTACTAAATATAAATTAAAATAGAGTAAAGTGTTGGAAAAATAATGATTGTAAAGGCGAATTAAGAACGAGTTCAACACATATACGTATTAAGAATTTGAAAATAGAAACCACAAACATTCAACAACGGGAACGTGAGATGAAACCAAATTTCTATTAGTAAATAAATAACTTTATTATAA